AGAATTTTGATAAGATTCTGAGCTCAAAAACACTGCCCTCTGTTACCTGTCACACTGATTAGCAGAAAGCTGAAAATCTGGACCCTAAAATCCATTGTGTGTTTGATTTCTGCTCTCTGGCTAATTACTGCTATTCTCATAGGTACAACACTTTAAAACAACTGTGAGGTATTTGTGGTTTCTGAAGATGAAGTATGCAAATATCAAGATTCTTCTAGTCAGTTATTGTCTCATAAACACATCATCTGTGAACTAAGGCAAACCTGGTTAATACGGAAAATTATCTACTTATCTGTAGTCACTACACTGATAAAAAGAAAAATTCTATTTCCTCTTTCCTTCTTTTTAGGAAGAAAAACCTTGTCCTACAGTATTACCCATATATTTCCCTAAAGGCAAGATTTACTTGATCCATTAAAGAATGGATGTTCAACTGAGTAGTTTGAGGTATCTTTTTCCCATAATAAAGTTGTATCTTGGGTGACTGTTTATGATGATCACAGAAAGCATTATATGTTCTTGTTTTACTGAATGCTGCTAATTAGATACCTCACCTATTCATTCCAATCTGTTCAGACGATTATTCCCATAAAGCTAACAGAATAATAGCCTCCAAATATGATTTGGAGCCCAGGTGTTCTCAGAGACATTTTGGCACTTGTCAAGCAAGCTCCGATGCAATCCCAAGAAGAAAAAAAAATAGCTCTCCAATGAAATCAATGGAAAAAAGTTTTGCTTGATTTAAGAGAATATGGGCTAGAGATTAATGAAGATGCACTAATCTAAAACAACTCTGAACAATCACCATTCTCAGTATGCACTGTGCTATGAAACTGTTTAGTTCATGTTCTGTTTATTGTCTGGGATTATCAGAGAGCACTTTTCAAAAAAATTACATTTTAGTCATTAAAATTTGGCATGAAATGAGTCTGCAAATTCATGTCTAAGTTTTATCAAATATTTTACTTACAACAAAAACTGAGGGAATGGGGGATGATTTGCATGAGGGGGTACTGGGAGGAGAGAGAGGGTTGATATATTGTTGTAAAGTGAATAAAAATATTTATAAAATAGGTTACTTTTCGTTAGATAAAGGTTCAATTATCTTCATATAACTTTGAAAATAGCACAGCCATGATGAAGCATGGATATGTCTCTAGAGCTTTCTTAAGAATGATTTCTCACTCCTCCCTTTATGAAAGACTCTGTGATTATATAGACATATGGAGAAATACTGACCCATGTATTGTTGAATTCAATTTAATGATTAAGCATGCCTTTCTGAGCACACAATTCTAACTAAATGGCTCCTCTTCCATTCAAAAAACACATGGTCTCATCTTTCATTGTATTTAGTAGCTATTTGCTAGTTTTACTCTGGTTACTTAAGAATGAACAATCTTCAATTATTTTGGGGGGGAATATGTGTTTTATATTTCACCAGTTAAGGATACTAAATCATCCTTGATGTTATGTAGTACAAATAAATCTTTACATTAGTTGATGGACCTTATTATGAATAAAGGAAAGGAAATCTCCATCACTGTCACACTAAATCCGAAATTAATGTTGAATTCTCAAGAAATCTCAAAAAATAATTTTGTCTCTTTTCTATTGAAATAGAAAGATTACTAAGCTTTTTTAGATTTATTTATTTTATTTTGTGTTTATGTGTAGTTGGCCTACTGAATGTATATGTACAACAGGAATGTTTGATACCCAAAGAAGTCAGAAGAGGGCTTCAAATATCCTAGTATTAGAGTAATGAATTACTATAGGTCATTATGTAGATATAGCCAATTGAGACCAGGTATTCCCCAAAAGCAGCAAATGCTCTTAAACGCTAAGAAATCTCCCAAAACTCCAGAAATAGCCAATCTTCAAGTCTTACTAACTCAGTTTCCTCCATGAACACTTGGTATTATGACTACAATGACTGTTATTCAAAGCAGGCAGAGATTGGAAGTCTCCTTGTGACAAGTGGATCATAGCTCTGGAACTTCTTGTTTCCTTTCTTTTTAAAATTTAATTTTATTGCTTAATTTTTCTTTACTTACTCAGTTTACATCTGACTTACTTACTCCTCCTTCTCCCCCTCCTACAAAGCTTCTACCAGTACCCTTTGCCTTCTCCTCTAAGCAGGTGGGTACTCCTTCGGTATCCCACCCACCCTGGCACTTCAAGACATTGCAAGGCAAGGCAAGACAACCCAGCTAGTGGAATATATCCCATGTATAGGCAACAGCTTTGGGATAGCCCCATCTCCAGTTGAGGTTCCATCTTATACCTATCAAAATGGATAGATTAAAAACTCCAGAGATAGCATATGTGCTAACAAGAATGTGGAGGAAGGAAAACACTCCTTCATTGCTGGTGGCAGTTTAAATTTATACAACCATTTTGGAAATCAAGTTGGCATTTTCTCAGAAATTTAGGACTTTAGGACCCAGCTATATCACCCCTGGACATATACACAAAAGATGATCCATCTGAGAAAGATGCTCAACCATGTTCATAGTAGCTTTATTCATAATAGCCAGAAATTGGAAACATCCTAGTTGTCCTTCAACTGAAGAATGAATAAAGAAAATGTACATGTACACAACGGAACACCATTCAGATATTTAAAAACCAAAACATCATGAACTTTTCAGGAAAATGGATGGAACTTGAGAATAACATCTGGAGCAAGGTAACTGTATCCTAAAAGGTTATGCATGGTATGTACTTACTTATAAGTGATATTAGCCATAAAATACAGGTACTATGTTATAGTCTACAGACCTAAAAAAAGAAAATAATAAGGAAGGTCCAAAAGAGGAATATGGAATCTTAATTGGGTGGGGGAATATACAGTCATAAGGGGCAGATTGAGGGAGGGAACAGGAAAGGAGGGGAAGGTGAATGTCATGGTCATTCTGGATCATATATGGGGAAGAACGGTAGAGATGACTAGATGGCCAGGAAAATGAATTGAAAATTACAAGTGACAGGGTTGAGAAGGTAGCACACATCTCTAGGACTACCCAGAAACTTGGAATAAGGGAGGTGCCCAAGAATCAATGGGTGTGACCTTAACTATGTTTCACTACGTTGGGGATACGAAGAGCCCACATCCCTTAGACAGACAAGAAACCTAATGAAGCAATAGAGATACCAAACCACTCACAAAGCTTTCAACCCAAAATTTATCCTGTCTACAGGTATTGCAGGCACAGGGAAAGGATTAGAGTCCTACAGAATGGACAACCAATAACTGGCCCAACCGGAAATAACAAATGGGCAATCACCAAATCTTAACAGTATAAATGATACTTTATTATGCTTGTAGACAGGAGCATATTGTCCTCTTAGAGTCTCCACCCAGCAGTGGACTCAGACAGATACAGAAACCTGCAGCCACACAGTGGATGGAACATGAGAACTCTTATGGAAGAATAGGAAGGACTCTAGGACACTAAAGGGGATAGGATCTCCACAGGAAGACCAACAGAGTCAACTAACCTGAACCCTTGGAATACTCAGATACTGAACTACCAACCAAAGAACATACAGTGACTAGACTAAGGCCTCCCTGATCATATGTAGCTGATGTGCACCTTGACTGTATTATGGGTCCTGCATGACTTCATGTTTTCTTCTCTTTATATAATTACAGCTCTAATGCAGGTGATATTGACTGAATAGAAATGTGATAGTGCTGCCATCTACTGTTAAGATAGCCAAAATTTAGGCAAGGTTATATCTATTATGGGAGTCTAGAAAAAAAAAAACTGCATTCACAGTGATGCATGCCAAGAAGTAGTATGTTTAGGGGAAAAAATGTAGTTTGACAAATGGAGGGATTCTTTACTTCCAGTGGTTATAGACAAAATGAAAACTAATGTTCACACAGTCAGAAAATTCATACATATATCACATTTTATGTCATTATGAAATGAAAAAAATAGATATTACCTATTCTCTATTTTACAGTGAGATTACAAATAACTAAAACAGTATAGAACCTACTTATGGTAATGATGGTACCAAGTCATTTGATATGATGCTATTATATAACAAACTGTAAAATATCCAATGACGTTTTAAAAGTGTAGCACAGTGTGTTGTGATATTGTGATCATGTGACTGCTTTTGTGTTATAGATTGTGGCTACTGCACAGAATCAAGGAAGAATAGTGATCCCACATATCATGTTATAGAAAGTGGTAAATACTTTCAATTATTGTCATTTGAAATCAGGATTCCAAAGAAACTGCAATATTTTGGTGGCCTTATACGTGGAAAATGTTACTCACCTGACTCACAAAATGTATTATTAGTACATTAAGAAACATGATATTGAATATCTCTATCATTTCAACACCAACTGACCATGTTCTATATAGCCCTCACTAAGATTCCCTGTTATTTTTTAATTATTAGAGGCAAGATAGGTTGCCAAAAAAAAGAGTATGATGCACAATCAGTGTAGTTTTTTTATATTGAAATATTTATTGCATTTATTATTTTTTGTAAGTTTTGTCATCTCTTTGATGTGGAATTAGATGCAAGAATTGGGTTGAGTTATTTCATATTCATTTACTTTTCTTTTGGGTTCCCATAATCGTTTTATTGAATGTAGAAAAGGAGGACTCTAACATATTCTATATCAGTTTATCTTTAGAAAAACAATGAATGGCATACATTGTAACTTCTCATAATTTTTTTCTTTTATTGGATATTTTATATATTTATATTTCAGATGACAACTCCTTTCCCTATTTCCCCTCCCTAGAACTCCCTATCCTATCCTCCTTTCTCTCTTTGATTTTATACCTTTTGAATTACATGCAAGTATTCAAATAAGTTCTAGGTTGAGGGACAATCAATAAAATAGATGCAAATAGTCAAGAAACAAGCAAGACAATAAACACAAATAGTCAAAAACAAACAAGACAATAAAGAAAATTCCATGAACACTCCCATGATCACTGTTTCTGAGGGCTTATCAGGATGACAAAAATATTTGAGCCAACTTCCCTGTCATAGCCCAAAATCATGTTCATGTCTGAAGACTACTACCTTATTCTAGACAAAATTTAGTTTCCTGTCTGAAATTACATTACAATTACATTAACAAGAATGAGTCTGTCTTGAGT